CTACAGCAACAAGTGTATGATACCTTATGAGGCCGCATCTGTGCGCCGACTGCATTTGCTAATGGATGGCCGATCGATCATTCGACAATCTGCATCAGCATTGCTCGTTAACACATGCCAACATTTTTGGATAAAGATGTGTTAGCATAAGTTAACTTATGATAAGGTTCGTTAATATTAATTGGTTTTCAACTTAAAGATGTGTTAGCATAAGTTAACTTATGATAAGGTTAGTGTTCATTGTTTTCTATGTTATGAAATGTTAAAGTTACATGTTAATATACGTTAAAATTTTCATGTTAATACATGTTAAAGTTGTGAGGTATGTTAACTTATGTTCAAGATTGTTAATATGTTTTCATGTCAATTACTGTTGAATGTTCCCATGTTAAAGTATGTTAACATAGCAGTTTAAGATTTGTCGAGGTGTGTCTGGGAGGTTAAGCTACGTTAAGCTCTGTGTCAGCCTACAACAGTGCCACGAAGTTCCAAATTATTACTAAAATACCATCACGTCCTTTTAGAATGTCTGATCATTAAGGTGATTTCATCCAAGGGGGTCGTCATATTGTGCTAAAAAATCTTAAATGATCTTCATTCAATGTATGTATGTGTGTCTGCAACAACATGCTCATTAGTATTGATAGCGACAATAAAGTTGAAGTAAAAAAGCAAAACGTTCTTTTCCTTTGTTTCTTCCTCAATTTTGTTTTCTTATGTTGAAAAACTACGTATCTGGTTTGTGATATTAAATCAAGAATTTGCGTTTTATGAATGAAAATCTTCTTTTATATCGGTTTTGAGTGGATAAATAAAATAATATCAACGTTACATTTTTTTTCCATATCAATTGAATTGAAATATAGACATATAGATGTTGTGTATATATACGTACACATGTGTGTGTATATATATATATATATATATATATATATGTAGAGGTTGGTTATTATACAACCTTTGACATTTATGCAACCAATACAACTCAATCTCAACCGTCCATTTCATTTGATTAATATGTGATTTCATAAAAGTTTTGATTGTTTTCTAATATAAAGTATTGATCATAATAAATGAACCATATTCATCTTTCATAAATATTTAAATCATAATAAATGAACTCTCATCATTTCCATAAATATTTTAATGTATTGGGTTGCATTGGTTGTACAAATACGATGTGTTGTATTTGAAACAAACTATATATATGTAATGTGTATGTAAGTAATAACGTATATGATTGTAGATATCATAATAAGAATTTGTAACTTTCAGGTGCTTTTGTTTTATCAAAAACAATACTTGTTAAATTATTAAATTATAATAAAATATATGTTTGTCAACCCATCTTATAAATAATTTATCAATTAATTCATTGAGATTTGTTGTTGGGATATATATCCTGATATTTTAAGATTTGTATGTCGTTACTTCTTTGTATTTTTAAAGGAATAATGATTCCTTGAAAACCTCATGGGATATGGACAACTTAACCAATGAAATTTAGAAAATAGAATTATTGTAAATTATTTTAATTATATTTTAGATTTTTTATTTTTTAAAATGAGATGTTAATTTTCTATTTGGTTATATTTATCCATAGTTAGTTATACGAATTCAAAAATGGAGCTTTAATAAGTTGTAATTATGCATAATTTACTTGTAATCTTGAATTTTAAGTAATATGCATCAATATACAATACTTCATGCATAAAAAATGGTTTTTAAGAGTTTATGTCAAATGTTTTATAATATAGTATATATATATATATATATATATATATATATATATATTATAAAGCATTTGTACAAACCTTATTCAACCAATCATAATTTTTCATTTTGTTCATTTTTTTGTAATTATGAGAGGTTGATTAATCATTTTTATTATTTTAATTTTAGAGAAATACATGAAACAGTTTCATTAAAATTTCATTAAATATTATATTAAACAATTTAATAACCATATATGAAACAACTTAATCAAAAAAGGTATTATATGAAACAATTTCACAAGATTAAACAATTTCATGAAAAAATTTCATAAGATTAAACAATGAAATCGACGGATGAGGGTGGTTTGCATTTGATCGCTCCTCTCTCTCTCTCTCTCTCTCTCTCTCTCTATATATATATATATATATATATATATATATATGCACACACAAAGAGAGGGATGATTGTGCAAGAAGTTAATTAATTTGCGAGAAGACAGGAAATAATATAGGCCACATAATCCATTAATTAAAAAATAACATAATTTTTTTTGGAAATTAGGATAATTATCATTTTAAAATGGATAAATCTTCAAAAATATAATTTTATATTTTAAATTTGTTTATCTTTTAATTTAATAAATTCATAATTATTTTATATAGTTTTATTTAACTTTTTTCGAGATATTTGATAATAAAAAAGTGATATTTACAATTAATTTATAATCTTTTTCATTATTTATTTTTTAATTTTTGGATCTACCTTTTGAATCACATGTGATAAATTTCGTTTCACATATGTTCTATATGATCCACTATGTAAATGTTTGTCCATATCACATATGATAATATGCATCTGAATATAAGTGATATATCATATTTACATCACAAAAAGATCTATAAATGTAAATATACATAATCACATATGATTAACAAAAAAATCTACTGTTATCACATATGGTTAACAAAAATATCTACAGATAATACATGTGAATTGATCGTAGGATATCACATGTGATATTTGATGAAAATTGTGAAATTATTTTATCTAAACTGTATCTAAATTATTTTATCTAAAGTGTATCTATTTGATGAAAAAAGTTATTAGTGAATTAAAATTAAAAAAACAGAAAGGATATAATGAGATTTATAAAGATTTATCCAATTCAAGATGCTAATTATACTAATTTCTATAATTATTTTTCATTTTTTATTTATGGTATTTTCTAACTAATTGGATTATGTGGCTCATATTCCTTCTTGCCTTTTCATAAATTGACCGTCTTCTCATTTAATCATGCTCCTATATATAAGGGTTCAAACGTGAACCGCTGTAATTTACGAAAACGTGAGAACAGCCTCTAAGCCGAGAATTATGTTTTAAGTCACATCTTAAGATAAATAAGTATTTTTCAAATTTAAATAAATATTAAAACAATTTCAAAAATTTTGAAGACGTGGAAAGGTAAAATTGGGAATTTTATCCTAAAATTCAAATAACACGATCTAGAATATTCCGATCATCTGGGCGAGTGTACATTCCTGTTCAAAGGTGTCGTGGAAGAAACTGTACAGTCAATTTCGAAGGCATCGAGGAAGAAGATCAAAGGTATGTGTCTAATAACACAGACATATTATGACACTTCGATTAGGATTCGATAGATGTCTGTAATCAATTAGAGCTTCGATCGATGTTTATCACAGATTTATTACAGTAGAGGCATGGTCGAGAAATCAAGAAGGCCAACTATCACAACTTCAAAAGCGATTATCACAGTGTAGTTAAGGCAAAATCGATTAATATATAATGTATCTATTGCCAAATTACTTGTTTATCACATGATTATCACAGTGTAGGTAAGGTTAGTTGACAATATTCAATATATATAATTTAGGATTGCTTTTTTATCACATGATTATCACAGTGTAGTTGGGGCAAGATCGATTAATGTATAATATATGTAATTGCCAGTTTCCTTGCTTCAAGCAATCACATGATTATCACAGTGTATGTAATCGATGTTTATCACAGACTTATCATTGTTGAGGCATGGTATAGAACTCATACAGGCTCACAACTCCGAAGTAGATTATCACTTGAACTTATACGAACATCAATAGCTTCCTTACCAACGCCACTTGAAAACTTAACCATCGATTTCATGATTGACGGTTACAATAGATGCGGACCTAATATTTTCAATTAAAAAAAATAAAAAAATAAAATAACTGGTTATCATTAGTCCAACAGTTAAGATGGAGTTTGCAAATTAAAAGTTGTAAGATTTATATGCGTTGTAAATGAACCTTCACCTATATATATTGTAACTGTCGATCACGAAATCTATGGTTAAGATTATTGTAATCGTTGATCATGAAATCAATGGTTAAGATTTTAGTTGTAAGAATTGTAAGTTTTAAAGGAGTTTATAAATTAAACCACCCCTATATATATATGTGTGTGTGTGTGCGCGCGCGTGTGTGTGTGTATGCGCGCGCACATGTGTGTGTGCATGTGTCATATATGATATATGAGATGGATTGATGTAATAATAACTGATCCGTACATGAATCATTGGTAAACTCGAAAAAAACCATTTAAAGATGTATAAGTGAGCTTAGTTCTCTTATTTATCTTTTACCAATGATTCACATTTGAATTATTTATTTAAAAGTTCTCAACCCCTTAAATTAGTGGAGAAACAATATCACGGTTTTTGTTTAATAAGATAAAAAAATTATTAAAGCGACAGCTCGAAAAATACATATTACCATTTTTTTATCTCAGGAGAAATACAATACGAAGGGGGTAACAATCCCTATATTCATATCCTTTTCTTGTTCTAATTAATACTCTATTCGAGAATTATCAATGTTTATTTGATATATTCTAAGGATTGGGTTCACGTGAGACCAAAGGTTTTTCATGAGACCCGTAAAATCAATTTATGTTCATTGATCAACTTTATAAGCTAATGATCTAATGGTATAAAGTTGTGCGGTGACAATTTTGTGATTATTGAGAAGTCTCGTGGCAATTTTGTGATTATGAATGTTCAGATTATAGATCTAATCCAAGGGTTGAGAATTGGTCTTATGGGTCTCACAGAAAACCTTTGATCTCACATGATCCCAAGTCTATATTTCAATTTATATATTATTAATATATAAATGTCGTTTGTTGATAATTAATGGCTTGATGGGTACGAAAACTAAATTGGTTGTATATAAAAACAACATATTTAAAATTTATATATATATAAATAAATAAAAGTATTCTTATTCGACCTACATCTACATATAATAATACAAAATAAATTAAATGATATATGACTTGTAACATAAATTAATCAAAAATATGCTTCAAACGGCTAGTTATTTTGACGATCATCCGGTCTATAAAGCTTCAACCAACGGTTATTCAATGCTTGAACCGGCCTCGCATTAACCTCAGCGTCCTGTTACATCGTACACTTGCGTCAACATACATGCACCATTAAATAAATATTGAATTGAATAAAATACGTAAAAACTTACATCATGAACTGCTTCACGGATCATATGCACTTGTTCTCGAGAAACCGTCCTCACCTGATGAGTTTCAATACAACAAATTTATTCAATAATACACGACGTTTTATTTATTTATTTATTAATAAAATAAATATTTGTTAAAATTAATAAATAAATAAAAAGAACGGATACCTTTTTGACCATGGTCCATATAACATTTTGGGTGCATGGAGGAGTGGTAAGTGAGCCAATATATCGATAGTATTTTCTGCTCCCAATTTTTATATCTCGTGGGTTGATTATTCCTACACTTGTTTCAACTCCTTTTGTAGATGCCAATGCTTTCAAATAGGGTTCCAACTGGTTATAAATTAATCACACAAAAAAAAAAACAAATATCAAGATTTTATATCATTTGAAAACTATAGGTTAAAATTTAATATTAATTCATTGAGAAAATATTTTATTAACGTATATACCATTGACAGAAGAGAGTCGGGACGGCCGATTTTATACATGATTCCGATCACTGCAACCTTTCCATCTATACTTTCATGCACCAAGTGTAGTTCCAGATTGAACCTGTACATATAGCAAGAATTTGACGTTTTTAGGATCTTTCTTTTGAATACTGTTAAAATGAATTCTTTTAATTATATCCATAATACCTTCGACCATTGACGGTGTGTTCAGTAGGAGTGTGCCAATGGAGTTGGTTAAGATGATACTCGATTCCGTTTATATGAACATGTCCTGCTCCCCCAATCCATTTCAGCTGTAAAAATTGAGCTCGCTTATAAATAATGATTAATTATTATTTAAATACAAGAAATAACAATGTATTTTTTATATTTTCAGATCGATATATATATATTCAGATTGTTTTCATGAAAACATTGTATTTTAGAATGTCTACGGGTTATAGAAAGTTATAATCAGTTCAGTCACGATACATACCATCATATCATGGCCCCGATTAAGAAGAGTTGCGTTAGCAGGTTTATAATCTCGATCAAGCTTTCCAAGTTTCGAAGTGGTTTGAACCCTTTCGTGTGTGAGATCAATCGGAGATTGCAGGTCTCCTTGGTTACACATGCTCCATTCGGGGTGGATCTCGCTCCAATGATCCGGCCCGTTATGACTGTTGATGTCGTAACTGAATTCGTGTTCGTCCTCTGTATATCACCATTAAGATCATGATGAAGAATTATAAACAAGAATTGATCAAAACAATATTCATATTGAAGAACAACTGTATATATAAAGAAGAACTGAATTCATAGTGAAATCAAAGCAGATCGATCATATAAAGACTCACCAACTTCTTGACATATAGCAAAAGGTGCACAAGAGATGATGAAAAGAGCAATGAAGATTGAAGAACACCATAAGCTTTTGTTATCCATTTCTTTCTGCATATATCAAATCTTCTAGGGTTTTTTTATAAGTTATCGATGCTTGCTTATCTACCTCCTCCCCCACATATATATATACATATATATATATATATATAGAGAGAGAGAGAGAGAGAGATAGAGAGAGAGAGATGAAATGGGGTCAAGAGATGGTGTGTGTGAATATGGAGGAAAGGGAGTTTGGTTTTGACCAAAAAGGCAAAGACCATGTTTAATTATTACCCTTTTGGGAAGACTTGAAGTTTGTTTGTTTGTAAATTGTGAGTGTTTGAGAAAGTTCTTGATGATGGGTAATTTGGCAGGTGAAGTTTGAAGTTTGGAAACACAGAAAGATAGGTCAATATGACAACAGTGTAGTGTACAACTCTTAAAGCCATTGGTACAAGTTTCTTCTGGTCTTGTGCTAAAGAAATCAAAAGAGGTTTTTAATGCATATCTATATAATATTGCTAAATGCACGTCAACAAATTAATATGTTTTTTCACATCTATAAGTATTAAAACTTACTTTTTACATATTTAATGTATTATATAACCAGGATCGGTCCTAAGATTTTTAATGTCCTATGCGAAAATGAAAAAAAAATGCCCCTAACCCTATTTTTTTAAGCCAATGAAACATGCTATTTTTTAAAGAACTTAGAACCTATTCAAGCTAAGTATCTTATCCCCATGTTGATTTTTATTAATTATAATAAAAAAATACAATGGGGGTACATAAAAATGAAAACCCCGAATATAGAATATAGAATGGGAAAAGGATAAATTCTGGATTAAGATCGTGCTTCTTTCTTTTCCAGTTTTTCCTTTTCCAAATTGAAATTAGCAAAATAGAAATTTTATTTCAATATATGAGACTTAAAAGACAAGGAAAACTATAATTAGTTTTTAACTAAAATAATAAATTACATCCAAATTACTATTATAGTAAGCGAAAAGTAAAAGTCAAAAATTACAGGTCTAAAGACTAAAGGCTAATGGCCTATCTGTTAGCAGCTTAATAAACTTAATGGAACTAACAACTTATTCGCTCAATTATGCATGAATGTTTCGTAGTGACTTAATGATATAGAAAGCAACTTATCTAGTAAGCTTCTAGGGGGAACTTTATATAGAAAGTCAAGTTTTTTTTTTCCAAACATGTCCCTTCCAACTAAAAAACACTCCTTACATTTGCGAAAAAACTCTATCAAACAAAAACTTTTCCAACTTATACAAACATATTAATTCATACAGACAACTTTATCCATATAGAAGTTAATAGAAAATCAATCAAACGACCCCTAAATCTAATGCAGTAATGTCAAACCTCAAAGTAAACAAAAGTCAAAAGAACGATAATAAATTGTAAAATTCATAATTTATGTTACTATGCATTGCAAAAAACAAGTGCCCAATAATTAAGATAATATCACAATATGTTGTTAATGTTGTGCAGTGCGCTCCAGCTATGTTGATACAATGATATGCTCATATACATTGAAAATTTCAATTCTCAAATATTTCAATATGCAAGAGGAAGACTCATTATCAAAATGACAAAAGCCCATTCGCCTTAACCTAGTAGGTCAGTAACACATACGACCACATGACCCAACTTTATAATAATCAGTTAGAAATTTAGATTTTTTTGCAAAAAGATTTGAAGATTCATAAATCATAATATGACTCACACAGCAACTCGGTAAGTTCAATCAACAGTAGAAATCAATCATTCGAGATTTCCAACTTTGATTTCTTGAATCTGACTTCATGACCGTTAATTGGCTGGAAAGAGAACTCCATTTCTTGAAAATCGAAATAATCGAACGTTGGAGAACAGTAGAAATTAGATTGAGTTATTGGAATGATGGCTTTAACTGGTTCACGATGTGTATTCGATATTCATCACTACTAGGCCTTGGGCCTGTTTTTATAGTTAAAGCTCAATTGTCCAATTCCCAAATTATTAGACCTAAAACTAGTAACATATGACAACTTGATGCCCCTTTAGACTTTGATGCCCTGTGCGACCGCACGGGCTGCACGTGGCCAGGGCCGGCCCTGCATATAACCTGATTTTGATATATATAGACATGTATACAATAATATCCACTTTTTATAGCCTATATATACACTTATTTTATATCAAAACCAGTGCAAATCATATATTGTGTTATATATATATATATATATATATATATATATATATATAAAATATCAAAATCAGGTTAAATCATATATTAAAAAAAATCTTGATGTTAATATGTAGAAAAAGAATACTATAAGGGTACTTGCGGAATGCATCAAGGTACATCTTGATTTTAATATTTCATTTTATTATTTATCTCAGTCGATGTTATAATATGATTTTATATGATTTTGAGAAAGGGATGATGTTTTTATTTTGAATAAAATATAAATTTAAAGATATCATAAAAATTTGACAAAAATATATCGATATTAATATCAAATTAATGATTTAAAATCCTTATTTTTTATGTAATTTTTTTAATTTATTTTTTTATTATAATTTAATTTATGTTTAATAACGAAATAATTTATATTTGGTTTAATAATATAATTTTCGTATAAAGATAGTAATTAATTATTTTGTTAGAACTCGATAATTATCCTAATTATATTTTATATTTTTATATTTTAATTAAAATGAAATGTTTATCCTCTATTTAATTATGTTTATCCGCAGTTAGTTACATGAATTCAAACATAAGGTTTTAATAAATTATACTTATGCATAATTTACTTGTAATCTTGAATTTTAAGTAATATACATCAATATACAATACTTCATACATAAAAAATTATTTTTAAGAATATTTATCAAATACTTTATAATATAATATAGATATACATTTAACGACATTTAATCTATCATATCCAAAAGAAAAGTATATGATGATTAAATGCTTCTATTTTCTCTTATATTATTATAATTTGCATTTATTATATCGAATTAAATACGCTATAATATTACATTAGCTAGTGTGAACTCTATTTTCTTCAATATAAACTTAAATTTCATTTGACGAAATTAGTTGACTATCGTATTATGATATTTATATCCTTGTGACTTTGGATTAATTTTAATTACTGAGAAATTTATATCCTAATTATATATGAAAATATAAGAAATTTATTTTTATTTTTAATGTGCAAATGGGGTCGTTGAAAGTTGTTGAATTTGGTAGGAATTATTGATGTTCAAAATTGAGGTACTCACCATTAAAAAAATGTTAAATGATTTATTTAAATAGATTAATTATGTTAAGTTAATTAAATATATTAGATTTCTATTAAAAATATATTTATTTTCTTTTTCTAGAAAGAAGTGATGTCTACAGGACCTTCTTCCACCTTCCATCATTTTTCTACGGGATTTGTCTTCGTTAATTTTTAAATCTTGGCTGCTAAACATGATTATATAAGATTAAGAGCGAATTACATCTTTGTCCCTATGTTTACACGATTTTACGGATTTGGGTTTTTAATTAGGGGTCATTTACTAACCACTTACCCGGTAAGTGCTTACAAAATCACTTTACATTATTGGATGAAGATGACAATGATTGAGAATTTTATCCGGTAAGAACAATAACAAGGACCGAGAGTTTTATCCGCTAGGCACTTACTGCATAAATTCTTTCTAATGGCTCTCTTCCTAAATAAATTTGAGGGACTTAGGGTCGTCTACTAAACACTTACTTTGGTAAATGCTTACCGGATGAACATAAAAAGTGTCGAAAACGGGAATAGACTCGAAAGAAATTTCAAATGGTGGCACTATTAACTAAGAAACAAATATAGGGATGTTTTTCACAAAAATCATTATTGGTCTGTTGGTTAGTTCATTGTTTTTCATACTGAGGTCAAAAATGACTCTTATTCAATAAGCGCTTACTTGGTTATAACGCTTACCATTAATCTATTTTGATGGCAAGGAACGTTACCCCATAAGGTAAATGAGAGTAGCGACTCTTGTCGATAAGAGCTTACCCAGTAAACATTTTGTAAACGTCCCCTTAGTCCGACTTTTGGTATGTTTCTTTGTTAGTGCGATTGACCCATTTTTTAAATATATTTTGTAAATTAGATAAACAATAACTTTTGTTATTTATGTAAAGGGAATGAACACAACCCTAATAAGTTTATGTTCTTAATGATTAATAAAAATGGTATATTCCTTAAGTTCTTATTCGTTCATTGTCGTTATTTGATACCGATTTATTAATAAAATGAATATATCGTTTATCTCAAAATATGACGATTTATTCCTTTCAGAAATTGTCAAATACTTAGGGGCCGTTAGGTTCATGGATTTGGATGGAATTTAAAGGAATTGGAATGACCAAAATCCTTTGACCAAATTCCAAATACAATGTTTGGTTCATGGAATAAAACTGATGGAATCCTTTCAATTCCAATAAATTCCTTCACTCACAGATTTTACATTCCACAGCATTACCCTCGGATTTTAATTCCTTTCTGACAAATTTCTTCCTTAATCCAAATTCATTCAACGTTGCGTCTACCATCTCATCTAATTTGATCTCTTGTTCGATCTCCATCCGGTACGCTCTCGGGCTCTCTCTCTCTCTCGTAATTTCTCCATCTATACAAAATCGATAGACAACATATGTAATCAATGAATCAATTCAAGATAATTAGCTATCGGTATCACTTGTCCAACACTACAAGGAAAAAGGGCTTTAGAGAAGGATTTTTTAGAGAAGATTTTAGATGTGTATCTAAAGATATATTATAAAGAAGAAAATAAATGACAAAAGTTGAAAACGTAACTGAAGATAGGATGAGTTTTAGAGAAATATTTCAAGCTAAATCATACATTACCAAAATTGTCTCTAAAAGCTTCAGAGAGTTTTTTTTAATAAAAAGCTTCTAAAAAATATGAGAAGGGGCTTTAGGGACGCTTTTTAAAATAAAAACCTTCCCTGAAGTCTTTGTTTTAATTATTTATCAATTTTATTAGAGAAATACAATTTTTTTTATAACCCATCGCTCCCATCTCTCGACTCTCTCTCTCTCTCTCTCCCCGTCGCCTTCGTCGTTCCTCTACCGATTTCGCCGTCGCCATCATCAAATTCTCTACCTATTTCGCCACCGCCTCCGTCGATTTCTCAGCCGAGGTCCCATCATCGTGTCTCATTATCAATTTGGTTTCGTTTATATACATAAATCAGGTATGTATTCTGCCCTAATCTGGTTCTGTCTTTCTGGCATAACCTGCTTCTTCATGGTCTGATTCTCCATTCGGTTAGTCATTTCATGTATTTGTCGTTAGGTCGAATGCATTTCATAAGGTGAGCATATTTAGGTTTAACTTGTCTGTAGCATCCGATTGGAATTGAAAATTTCACTTACAGAACCATCCCCTTCCCAATCCCAATCCTAATCCTATCTGCTTTATTGGTTGTAGTGATAGCAGTTTGTTTATACTTATTACTATAATATAACCTTGTAAATAATAGGCATGCTCGTTATGTTTTTGGTTATTACTCTGCATCTGGAAAGATCATATCCTCTGGTTGACAAAGTTTGCTATACTATTATAAAAAACATCTATTATAGATGGTAGCAATCTGAAGCTGTATGAAGCTGAATGTCACAGTATGAATGTATCACATCACATTTGCCGATATAGAAATTCAAAAAGGTTCCCTTTTTGTTTAATAATATAGTCTGTGTCACTATTTTAAATACTTTGCACTTTTTTGAGCCATGTCAATTGTCAACAGCATACACACATATATTTCTTATTAAATAGAAGATTTACCTATGGTTCTCTTGCAGGTTCTGCAGTTGTTGCTTCAACATTGCAGCCTCTCTTTGCYAGAACTGTAAATATTGAGTAGACATTTTCAGGGACTTCTGTGCAATCATCATAACTAATTGAAAACATTATGCAATGTAGTTTAACTGTGTACTCGTAGGCTAAGAGTAATCAGAACTTTCAGATTAGATTTCGGTGTAAAAATATTATTAGGAGAACTTTCAGTGGTAGGAAGAAGGGATGAAGCATTTAGAAACTTTACTTATGTTTCAACCACCTACAATGAAACTGGAAAATTACTGTAAGTTCAATTGGGTTATAAATCTGGCTTCAAAATGATCAAAAGCTCTTTAGTTAAGGAGAATAGCATTTCAATCGTTTGTTGTCAAAACTAGTCATGTTTTAAAAAGATTGTGCTTCTAGATGGTATCATGGTTGCTTATAAACTTGTACTCCGAGGTTTTGTCTGCATTTTATCCTGCCATTTGAATTAGATTTTATGCTATGATGTTGTCACGCATTAGAAGGTAATGGTTGGAGAACTTTTTTATATCCAGCAAGAGCCTATCAGAGGTCAYAGCAGTCCCATTGAYAGGTGGACAAATTCTTCTCTTTCTTGAWGGATCATCTTTTAGGCAATTTTCAGATGCTTTTTGGTCGAATTTCTTATTTCTGTTTCTGTAATCTCAATTTTGCATCGATATAGATAGTGTAACATCTCTGCTGGTACCAACTGTTGCATTGGAGGCTATGGGTTATGGATACATGGGGTAGAAGGTGTGATTAGTTTTGACTTGCTGCTGCTCCTTCAAAGTTTTGCAGATCAACAGAATTCATTACCTTGAATTGTTGTACACTTGGTCTTGCATATTAGATAATCTTAGATGCCCTTTATCTCTCGCACCAACTCACACACAAATGGTTTCAATTTGTTTTTGAAATCTTGTCAACATGAACTTTTGAAGATTGACTGTCTCAAATTGTGATTTTAGGGTYTTGCATGTTTAAGGGTCATTGATGATAAAAGCTCATATACATTATTGTAACTTTAACCTGGCCTTGTTARRGATTTGATTTGCAAATAACAGGCACCATAAGATGTTATCCGGACAACCCAGTCAGTCTACCCTTTACACATAAAGAATACGAGAACTTTCAGGATCCTTTTTCTTAATTTTGCAGTGGGGTGGGGGTGGGATTTAAGGACACACCTATGGTTGTTAATATTCTTGTTCACCCACAAGATATACAATTTTCTGCAGTCTATTTTCATGGCGAGGTTTTAACATGCTAAAAATAGTCAAGTATTACTATACTGTTAGTTGTATTCTTGCATCTACTTTGGTGTTAATACTATTTCGGTAAATAGTGATGAAGCTCTATATATGGTATGTGGATAGATATATTGTTGTGAAATTGAATCGATATCTTAGTGAAAGTCAATTGTTATTTGACGCAGTATTTCTTGAAGACTCAGCGGTGCAAGTTTGGTCCCAAGTGCATATTCAACCACCAAAAAGATAAACTTGCTTTGGTAGGTTTAATTGCACTGTGATATGTCGGTTTGATTTTCACTTGTGCTCATATTGGTGACTGGCTTGTTGATGCATCTGCAGTCTACTTTGGAAAATGGCGATGGCTCTGCCTTACTAGAGAGGCCATCTGAACCCCCATGTGTGGTATGAGTGCTACAATTTCATTGGTATCAGCTATCTATTTCTTCTTGCATTTAAAATATCAGTCCTGTTGAAATTATATGACCATCGGTATCGTCATCTCCATCGATGTACCTGTCCTCGCTGCTGCTTGGTTCGAATAATTTTTCTTTGATGTTCTTAGGTTTTGATCTTCGATTTGATATGGTTACTTTTGTGTAATTGATGATCTAGATCTTTTTTCTAATGTTTTGCAGGGGAATTTACATTACATTCAATTAGGATTGATCCAAAATGGATGTTTAAAACCCCAACATTACCTCCAAAAATCTCATCAGGTTCTTTTTTCCACTCCCGGGGTTTAGTTGTTGTATTGTTTTGATATGATTTTAGGTTATCTATGATCTTAATCTTTCACTTGATATTAGGATGAAGTGATCAACAAAGTGCAAAAGACTAAAAAGATGAATGTTTAAAGTCTTCAAAATAAGCCGCAAAATAGATTTCTGGCTTCAAAATTGGCTGCCCACTTGCAACCTTTTACTTTTTCTAAACTCTTTATGTTAACATCCTAAGCAAAAATAGAAAATATGTGCCTGCAGTAAGTACTTCATGAAAGATAACATAAAATATGTGCCTGCAGTGTAAAATATTTACCCAGGCTCCAAAGATGCTCTAAATGAAGACTAGCAAAAATAGTATGGAAACAGTTCACCAGTAAGCTATACTACATTAATAAGCATTTAGACCTATATCTTAATTAGAAATCATAAAGCACAAAGTACTACCATTTTATGCTTAGAATCTGGGATTTGCAGGGTATAGATATCGATGAAAGAACTTGGATAATGTGAATACCTATTTCCTGGTTGTTGATTTTCATTTGATGGGTTATGTTGATATAAAATCCCCTTGTGGCCAAGGAGGTTCAAATGTGGTGACTCCGGGCTATCCACTTCGCTGCCAACTATTCAATTACCAATAGCATTTATTATAGGCTTAGATTTCCAATAGACTTCGGGTGTTGGTTCTCTTGATATGAAAAATATAGCATCTCTATACTTGTTGATAAATTGATTAATTCTGGTATTATAGATAATGATTGGTAGTTTAATTATGTTACTATAGTTTGTTTTGTATTTATGCCAAGGAATCTAACCACATTCATGTGTTCTTTCTCCTGTTTGTTTTGTTCGTATTGCATTGTAGGCGTACGAAATGCAATTTGAGTCCTGATCAACATCTGGAAAAGAGAGGCATCACCACCATGCCATCATTCTAATTTAAAGTTAGGGGMTGTTTACCTAAATCTTTTTATCTTATAATTCTTAAATTGTAAGTCTTGGCCGATGCTTTTTGAGTATTCTTGGACTGTGGTTGTTGAAATCATTACACACTTTCTACTTGTAACGATCTATTTATTAGGTTCGATTTTGTTTTGGAACAAACTAATACTTTGACTAATGTTTTACCATTGTTTTCCTTCAGGTTTTAAGCAAGTGTGATTATGATGGCGTTGTTGCTCATATATTCTGTCTGAGGAGGCTGCCGACTTTTGTATAAAAAGGATAACTGCAGGTTTAATACATTCTTCTGCTTTATGATGCGTAAATAGGAAAATGTTAAACTTGAAATTATATGTAGGTTTTAAATATTCATTTTGCTAATGAAATGTTCTGATGGCTTATTGACTTGTTGTAGATAAAGAGGGAAATTGTCACAGTTAGCGGTTCACATGAAATTATTGCATTATGGCTAACACCTTTGCAGACCACTTGCAATCAGACGAGGCTTCGTCATCTATGCAAAGTAACAAACGTGGTTCTACAGACTATAAAAAAGTTAGAAAAGAGATGTCATGTGATAGATAGAGTATCAAGTTTTGCGAGGAGTTTAGGGAGGATGTTAGAAAATGGATTTATAGATTGATTGAATGTTGGGGAATGTTTTGAGAACTTATTTTTTTTATATATTATAAATTTATATCAATTTATTGCTTTGAGATTTTTATGTTGTTATTGTTGATTAATATAATATATAATTATATACAAATATAGATCTTAAATATGGATGAAAAATAATAATAACATGCCCTTTAGAGAATGAATTGATCTTTTAAAAGTGTATCTAGAGATAAGATTTAGAGAAGGTTTTGATTATTTATATCTAAAGATAATCTTTTGAGAAGGTTTGTAGAGTGTAACTAAAGGTTACCTTTAGAGAAGGTTTAGGTAAAATGTCACTAAAGCCAATATCTTTAGAGAAGCTTTTTTGTAAACCTTCTCTGAAAGCACCTTTTAGAGACGTTTGTAAACCGTCATTAATACTTCAAAAGTGTCACTGATAAATACATTTAGAGAAGCTTTTATAAAAAAGTTAACTAACCTTTAGAGAAGTTTTGAAGTGTATCTAAAGCCCTAAAAAAGTGTCTCTAAAAGCTACCAAAAACATACCCTCCGAAAACCGTCCCTAAAACCTTTACCTACCCTTACATAGAGAAGCTTGTTGACGGAAATGAAAAGCTTCTCTAAAGCCTTTAGAGAAGCTTTTAAGAATTTTAAGTACAAAACAGAATCTTCTCTGAAGGTTATTTTTCTTGTAGTGCAATTTCATTATTCAAAAATCATAAAAGGTCATTTGTTGATATTTAATTCCGATTCCAAAGTTGAATTTCGTAAACCAAACAAAAAAATTCTAATCCATTAAGAATTTCATTCCAATTCCATGCAACCAAACGCAATCACAAGGCATGGTCAAATTCCATCAAATTTAATTTTATTCCTTCAAAGTCAAATTCATTTGATGAATTCCAATTCCATCGAATTCCATTCTACGAACCAAACACCCCCTTAGTTTTTCAAAATGTAAAAGTACATTACATTATCAGATTTCCTATAATTATATTAGAATAACTGCTTTTATATATCTGATTAATTTTTAACTTGCCCCGTTTTAATAAGTACTGGCAAAAAAATATACAATAAAACTTAATAAGAAAATAAATAACAAAATCAAAAGAATGTGATCGATATATTTGGATTTAAAACCAGATATTGATATAAATATTTGTTTTTTAAAAATAAAATGAAAAACAATTGTTTTCAATATCACATCATAAATCCGAAAATAGAATCTTGAAAATGGTATGTCAAGTCATGGAAAGAATTCAAAACATCCACCAACTTTTTATAATTAAATATGAACTCACATTTATTGAATTTAACACGATATCTGCCATCGTTTTCTTCTGAAATTCGTGAACTTTTTTATACAAATTCATTTTTTTCATGGATTTTGACTATGTTACAAATTGTGTACTTCTAAATTATTATATGAATAGTGACATTTTTTTTACAAATGGGAACATATGATTGACATTTTTGCTGGTAAAATTGTTTGAATGACGGTTTAAAACGATTAATATTGAAAAAGGAGAAGGTTTGTTTTTCCTTTTAGATTTTTATATTGATTATAATATTAAAATAATTAATATATTTAATTTCCAAAAAAAACATTCAAATAATTTTTTTATGACATGATAATTTACGACTAACTTTGAAATAAACTTATTATAAACCATAAGGGTTTTGATGTAGAGGTTGAAACTCTATGTGATGTGGTTGAATATCTTATCTGCTCATACAATATCAATGTATGATAAGAGGCGAATGATTGATTGATTGTGTGAGAAGTAGAGTTTGAGATGAGAAACTTAAGAAGAGATTTGGACCATTGATCACTTTAATCTCAAACTCAGCTATGAATCATGTTTGATATGGGAATTGATTCAGTGCATCTCGGTGCATCACATCCTAATATATACATCCAAGGGTGGAGATCTTTTCTTACGCTTCTCATATTAATTTTCATTCTCACCGGAACCCAACCTTATGATAACATACGACAAAGAATCATCTTGTGTTATTTGTTATTTCGTTTAATTATACATGGTCGGGTCATATTCGGATAGCTAACGTTAATTCTTTAGTTTTGAGCAAATCATACAAAGACGATGATTGATTCAATAAGCAAGATTGAGGAGGAACTAAATAAAAAGTGAATGAAGATGGCAACAAAAGAAAACTAGAAAGAAAACCGTGTTGAAAATTCGCATGGACCATGCAAGTTTACGAAGAAAGTCGCAAGGGGCGTGCATGTGGCAGAAAGTTTGGCATAACCAATGCCGATGTTGCAGTCGTACAGATAATTGTTTGGTTCTTCCAACTTAAGTCATTTAAAACAGTTTATTAGAACACTTTTAGATTTTTGAGGTCTTATAAATCTGATTTTGTTGCAACCTTGAAGTTTATTCAAGATCTTGTTTGGTTCTTTATTTTGAGTATCGAGATAAATCTGTTTTATAGTTTATTGAACGAAAGTTGAGATACGATGGAAGCCCGATTTTTCAGTAATCTTTTATTTAACAAATAGATCTATAAACGAAATTTTGACTATGATTAATAAAAAAAATTGGTAGGAGCAAGGATTAAAAGGAAATGTTTATCAAATCGTAATGCTTTAAGTTGACGTTGGCGTCATGAAACTCGTCGATCCTCTTAGATAAGAAGACTTATTTCACCTAAATGAATCTCTTAAGTTCGATAATACCACTTGCATGTAATTTACAATACTGTAATTAATTTATATATAAACCATTTGAAAAAATGTCCTATAAAAATGAGTTTATAAAGCAGTTTACAAAACTATTATATAAAACTAGAAGAGTAATCGCGCAATGCAACGAGACACATCTCGATTTTAATGTTTTATTTTATTATTTATCTATGTCGATGTTATAGTACGATTTTATGTGTTTTTAAGAAAGCAATAATGATTTTATTTTTGAATAAAATATAAATTTGAAAATATCATAAAAAATTTAAAAAAAAATAATCAATGTTAATATCAAATCAATTATTTAAAAATTCTATTTTTTATGTAATTTATTTTTTAGTATAATTTAATTTAAGTTTAATAACAAAATAATTTGTTTTTGGTTTAATAAAATAATATTTTATAAAGATAATAATTAATTATTCTGTTAGAACTCAATGATTATCCTAATTATATTTTAGATTTAAAATGAGATGTATATTTTGTATTTGATTATGTTTATCTGCAGTTAGTTACTTAAATTCATAAATAGAGCTTTAATAAGTTGTACTTACGTACAATCTACTTGCAATCTTGAGTTTTAAGTAATATGCATTAATAAACAGTACTTTACACATAAAAAATGATTTTTAAAAGTTTGTGTCAAATGCTTTATAATATAGTATAGATAAGTTTATATGACACTTTATTTTAAAAATGTTAAAGAAAACTAATAAATTTTCCTATTTTTAGACTTTGGGCTGGGTGAGGAAGTGGATATTTCTATTAACAGGATATAGTGAAAGGTCTCTTCTTGCTATATATAGAATATCATTTATGAAGGTTTTACTCGGTCCATTTACACTAGAGTCGTTAATGTGTGCGACGGACCGTTTTAGGCTTGGATTATTATTTTTAAAGAAATAGTCGGTCTAAACTGATTTGTTAAAATTATTATATGATATGGGTGATGAAAATAATTGGATACATCTGTCTAACCCATTAATGTTTTTATAACAATTAAAATTTATAAATAAAATTGATTTTTTTATACTTATCAATTCTTATGTAATTATTAAATGTCTATTTCCTTTTATAAATCAACCGACGTTAAGGGAATTATGAAAATAACCATTTTTATCTGTTGGTTTCAATTCTTAGTCACTTCTTTATAAAGTTTAACAAAATAGTCTAGATCTACAATTTTTTTTTAAATGTGGACCTGGGTGAAAACGTAAAAAAAAAAAAAAAAAAAACTCAGACCTGGGTGAGAAATGTAAATTTTTTTCTGGATCTAGATGAAAAATGTAATTTTTTGCGGATAAAGGTAAAAAGTGTAATTTTTTTGCGGATAAGGGTAGAAAGTGTAATTTTTTTTGATAAACTGGAGAGAAAATGACTAGGGGTGAAACCAACCCCTAAAAATGGTTATTTTAATAAATTTTCCGACATTTATAACATGTTACATGTTTATTATTTATGGAGAAACAAAACTTACAATAAATATTTAAAAAAAATAATTAAATATGTTACGGAGTTGTATTGAATCAGTGGAATATTGTCTCCTTGATTGCAAATATGCTCAGGAGTTGTAGAAAAACATCTTCAAATGGTGGAACATGGAGGATTTCATTCCATCTACTTTATCGAAGTTGTTTTTTTTCCCGATGGTATTTAGTTTAATTGCAAGTTTTTCAAAGTGTATTTTGTTTTTATTAACCTGGATATCAAAACCGCTATGCGAACCGACTAATCCCATGACGACCACCTGCTTTGCAGATAGTCCGGAGTCATCGCATTTGAACCTATATCGTCACAAGGGGATTTTTATTTATTCTTGGATTTGAACCTGGGACCTCCCAGGTACTTTTAACCTTTGGAGTCAAGCTCAAACCAATCAGGCACCACCCTTGTGGTTTTCAAAATGTATTTTGCAACCTTTAATTTAATTTGTTGCATACCGTCTCAGGAGGGAAAGAAATTCCAGTGTCTTCAAAAGTGCTGATTTGGACAATAACCTTCTTGGTAAATTTCAATATTCGTCATTTCGGTCAGATATCTTTAAAGTGCAAATCTTTCTATAGATTTTAGAATTTCTGGATTGCTTCTCCAGATGATGTTTCGATCTAGCCTTTATAGTTGTTTGGTTTTCTTTTCATTTGGTCCCTCTGATTTACTGAATTGTTACTGTCTGTTTGTCGGTTTTGTATCCCTTTAAATTCTTTTTATACACCTTAAATATTTACATAGCTCTTTCCTTTAATCTACTAATATTATAAAAGAAAATTTAAATTAGGTTTGTTGGGTGGTTGGAGGTTGGGTTCCTTTTGGAATGTGAGAAGAGGATGTTTTATTTTGACCATAAATTATGT